TGTGTGTGTGTGTGTGTGTGTGTGTGTGTGTGTTCTCTTTGAGATCAGAAGTATTGGATCTCCTGGAGCTGGAGTTACAGGAAGTTATGAGCCACATGCCATGGGTACTGGGCATCAAAATCGGGTCCCCCTCTGCAAAAGCAGTAAGCACAGTCAGCTGCTGAGCCATCTCTCCAGCTCGTCTTATTCTTGATTGCTAATACAGACTTTTAATTCCAGCCTTCCTGGATGGATGTTATGCATTTAATTGGTATGTCGATGCAGTCACCCCTCCAGCTATGCCATTCACTCTGTTTGCTTTCTTCTGTGCCATCATTGAGATGACACATGCGAACAGCAAGCGCTCAAGCTGCTCAGTGCTATTCAGGACTCATAAATAATAATTAGGTCATTAGCAACTTTCACCATTAATGAAGCGCTCTCACATATACGGTCCTCTGCGGCTCTCATAAAATTCTGTGAGTGGTTATTATTGCTCTTGTTTTATGGGAGGGATTATCCAAGTCTTGGAGACTCCGTACAGATTATGGGGCGTGGAGGCAGAATTGAAGCTCCAGACTGTCAGGTTTCCGTGACATTCTGTTACTAAATGACAGATGCCCTTTTGGGCATGGCAAGATTCATTTATTCACTCATTCATTCGTTCGTTCCTTCGTTCATCCATCCAATTATTCATTTTTTTTTTTTCTGGGCTAGTTGGCTGTGTTTAGTAGGAAAGGATACATTTGAATTTTGTAAACATTGTGGTCCTTCCAAAATTAAAATTACCCTTGTGCGTGCAGTGATCCAGGTTTATCGTGCCAGGCTGAGGTGTTGCGCAGCCCTAGAGAGCTGCACTCTTGCCCTGCACACGCCGAGATTTGGTTTGCCAGCATTCGGGGTAAGGCAGCATGCAGCAGCCCACGCATGACAGGAAGTGGAGAAGATTAACGTGCTGACAATTCCCATTTCCCCATCCCTCCTCCATGAGCCGAAAGACGTTCAGTGAGTGAACAGTTTTTCAGCATCCTTGGCATTTGCTAAGTCTGGCAACCTTATCTCAGGATGGGCGGGGATCGCAGAGTTTCAGGGGCACCCGTGTATATGTGGGAGGGTGCTGGGAGGACACCGAGGACAGGAGTCCAGATGGCTCTGCGTATGCCATCTGCGCCCTGTGCCCAGGAGGTGATAATTCCTGCACAGGTGCCGAAGTGGAAGGAGGGCCTGGGAGGGGATTCCCAGAGGCTAGCAAGGACCGATCCCAGATTCTTTCTGTGGTGTAGGGCCCACCTGGCCTCTGGTGATGGCCGAGGCTGATTTGTGTGGTTTTGCTTAGTTTTTCCAATAGTCTGTTTTCACTGGTGAGCGTTCAGATCTGTCCAGGATGTTAAATTACCCTCTGGGATGGGTAGACAGAAGGAAAGCGAAGAGGAGGGAGCGAAAGGTGCCCTGCAGGTGTCAGCCGAAAGGTCTGTGAGTGGCATGGAAGGTGAGGAGGCCCTCGTTAGCACGTGCGGCTGACTGAGACTGAAGGGCTGCCTGTGGGCCTTCCTGGGGGTGTCCAGGCAAGGGTGGGGCACGTGGAGCTGGACCAGGAGCTTGCTACTGGTGAGGGTAGAGGAGGGCAGGGATGCCACAGGGCTGTCAGCTCTCACATTTGGAGGGTTGTCCGTGCAATTACATCTACAGGTGGGAAAACTGTGGAGCTCAGGGAGGGGGACCTAGGCTGCTCTCGGCCCATGATACTCAGTCCACTTAGAACCATGGATACCAGTATCATCCCTGGACCTTCGTTCCCTGGGGAAGTTTGTGAAGATGGTGCTGTGTTCCCTCTTCGTTGGAGACTTCTGTTGATAGATGTATCACTGCAAGCCTTCCCAAGACGGCCATTCTCTTTGTCTTTGCCCTGGCCAGACAAGAGGACTGTAACTCTGCATTTCAGAATTTTTTAATCCATCCAAAGATTGCTGTTCATTTTCTCAAGTTTTTTTTTTTTTTTTTTTTTTTTTTTTTTTTTTTTTTAAGGGCCGTATTTAAAAGTTAACCAATGTGATAGACGTATTTCTGAAAGGCTTTTATTTTTGTTTTGTTTTGAGACAGGCTTTCTATGTGTAGTCCTGGCTGTCCTGGAACCTGCTCTGTAGACCAGCCTGGCCTTGAACTCCTAGATCTACCCGCCTCTGCTTTCATGTTTTCACTTGGATAAAGGGAAAAAAAAAAAAAAAAAAAAGCTTGAGAAAATAAACAGCAATCTTTGGATGGATTAAAAAAATTCTGAAAGGCAGTTATAGCCCTCTTGTCTGGCCAGGGCAAAGAGGATAGCAGCCTTGGGAAGGCTTGAAATGATGCATCTATCAACAGAAGTCTCCAATGAAGAGGCAACACAGCACCATCTTCACAAATTTCTGGGGAATAATGGTCCTGGCATTAAAGACTTGCACCACTACCGCCCGGCCGGAAAGCCTTATTTCAGCAAAATACTATGTCTGTGGGTCCACAGTCAGTATTTTTATCCCAGTTTATTCTTCTTTTGCCCATTCATTCATTCATTCATTCATTCATTCATTCATTCATTCATTCCTGGCATATATCTCGGAATTCCTGTATGCATCAGACAGAGATGAGCTTCAGAGGGAAACAAAACTCAGAATGGCAAAACACAGGAAACTCTCAGCGACCTCAGGCCTGGTGCTCAAGTCCTTTGCGTCCTCTGCACTGCCCCTTTGGGGTTTCAGAGGTCAGCCACCTGCCTGTTAAATGGCTTAGGCAGAACGAAATGAGTTCTTGCCAGCGGTATCAGTAAAAGGTTGACCTTGTTGGCTGAACTGAGAGATTTGAATAATCTGTGGTTTTCCACCTCCTCATGAGCTTCTAAGACCAGACACCTGTAGGAGCTAGCGGGCGCCTTCTGCCCTGTGCTGTGTGGCCCTCCCGGCTAGCCTGCCTCACTCGGTTCTTCCTGTTCTTCTGTCCACAGAGCTGCGCCTGAGATGGAGTTCCTGCCCCTTTGGCTATGCCTGGGTTTTCACTTCCTGATTGTGGAATGGAGGAACGGAAGTGGGACAGCCGCTGCAGCTTCCCAAGGAGGCTGCAAGGTGGTGAGTTTCTCCTTGGATGCCGATCTCTCTTTGGCCTCTCTCCTGATGGGGCTTGTTCTGCTTGCAAAGCTGATGACTTGTTGATCAAAGAGGCCAGGGACTGAAGGAGTCAGCCTCAGTGTGTGCCTGCCTAGCTCAGAACAGGGTGCTTGCTGCTTTTTAGCAGATTTTCAAGATGGAACTCGGGAAGGACCGGAAGTCCCTGCTCCACTTTTTCATATGTACTGATGTAGGAGGAGAGGAGAACAAAGTAGGAGTTCTTCAGCCACTTTTCAGGGCTCAGTCTGGACCCTCTCCTTGGTGGAAAGCGCTAGGGACCTGATCATCCAGAGGGCCAGAGAATGGGCTTCCTCTGGCTCTTGTGATTTGAGCAGTCTTGAAGCTCTTTGTTACATCAGCCATTAAACCTTAGCATGAAGATGGGTGTCGTGGAGTGTTCTGTGTGCCCTGGTGACCACAGAAGGGTCCTTACCCACTAAGGTGGGTTCATGGGAATTACAGAGGTCTGAACCCCCTTTGACTACAGCCATTGGGGAGGAACGAGATCCACTGCAGGCTGAGGAAGGCTCTGAGCGCAATGCTGTCCAGACAGGCCTCGGGAAAATAGAGATACACTTGCCTCTCAGCTCAGAGATTCAATTTGTAAAAAAAACAAAACAAAACAAAACAGCCATTCTTCACACATTAATGCAATCTCAATATAAATGCAGTAGGCTTTGGGAGGAGGAGTCGGATAGGAAGGAAACTGGAAATTTCATTCTAATGTCTATGGTGAGATTAAAAAAAACAAAACCTCAATTGTTCAACAACGAGCAGCTTAATTAATTAGTGCATGCTGGTAATTACAGCTGACGTGCTAACACATATTAGCCGTAACAAATGTGATTTAGCTAAGCAATCACACTCAATCCTTGAAGACAAAAATGAAATCTATGAGAAAATTACAAGTACAGTAAGTAGTTAGTGGCTTTTATTTGAGGGGGAGGCTGAGATTATCTGAGTTTTTCTTTTTCCTTTTTTTTTTTTTGTTTTGAGGAAGGGCCTCCCTATATAGTCCTGGCTGGTCTGGAACTATCTGTGTAGGCCAGGTTGCCTCAAACCCACAGAGCTCCTCTTGCCTCTGTCTCCCTGGGTCCTGGGGTTAAAGGCTTGTGCCGCCAAGCACAGTTTTTTTTTCTTTATATTTTTCCTTTTTTTTCTTTATATTTTAGTATCATATCGGCTTTTTAGTTATTAGGTTTTATTTCAATAACCAGATAAGGAATTTGAGACTGCAAGAAGGTAGTTCCTTGCTTAGGGTCAAATTAACATACTGCAGAGTACAAGTTCAGACTTCAGTGCTGGCTCCAAACCTGGTGTCTCTCTTTTTTCAGAACTTTTCTTCTCATTCAACTTTGTCCTTGGAGATTGGGTCATTTGGCATTCACTGGTCTTGTCTCATAGACCAGCCAAAAAAAAGCAAGGCCATTGCTCTTGCTAACATTTCCTCCGACCCCCAACACCTAACTGACACCTTCCGGCTGGCTAACTGCTTTGGCAAACTACATTTATGTGCATAAACCTCATGTGTTTTTCGACCTAGGTCGATGGAGTCGCTGACTGCCGAGGCCAGAGCCTTGCTTCTGTACCCAGCAGCCTCCCATCCCATTCCCGGATGCTTGTTCTGGATGCCAACCCTCTCAAGGTCCTGTGGAATCATTCCCTCCAGGCCTACCCACACCTGGAGAACCTCAGCCTGAGCAGCTGCCACCTGGACCGTATTGGCCGCTATGCCTTCCAAGAGCAAGGCCGCTTACTCAGCCTGGGTCTGGCGGACAACCGCCTGTCAGAGAACTACAAGGAGACGGCGGCAGCTCTCCACACCCTGCTGAGACTTCGAAGGCTTGACTTGTCCGGAAACTCCCTGACTGAAGACATGGCAGCCCTCATGCTTCAGAACCTTTCCTCGCTGGATTCTGTGTCCTTGGCAAGGAATACCCTCATGAGGCTTGATGACTCTGTCTTTGAGGGCCTGGAGCACCTCAGGGAGCTGGATTTGCAGAGGAACTATATCTTTGAGATCGAGGGCGGTGCGTTTGATGGCTTGACTGAGCTGAGACGCCTCAACCTCGCCTACAACAACCTCCCCTGCATCGTGGACTTCAGCCTCACGCAGTTGCAGTTCCTCAATGTCAGTCACAACATCCTGGAGTGGTTCCTGGCATCCAGGGAGGACAAGGACAAAGCCTTCGAACTGGAGATGCTGGACCTGTCCCACAACCAGCTGCTCTTTTTCCCCCACCTGCCCCAGTGCAGCAAGCTCCACACGCTCCTGCTACGGGACAACAGCATGGGCTTCTACAGGGAGCTGTACAATGCCTCCTCGCCACAGGAGATGGTGGCGCAGTTCCTTCTTGTGGATGGCAACGTGACTAATATCACCACTGTCAGCCTCTGGGAAGAGTTTGCCTCCAGCGACCTGTCAGCGCTTCGCTTCCTGGACATGAGCCAGAACCAGTTCCGGCACCTGCCAGATGGCTTCCTAAAGAAGACACCTTCCCTTTCCCACCTGAACCTCAACCAAAACTGCCTGAAGATGCTCCACATCCGGGAGCAGGAGCCCCCGGGGGTGCTCACTGAGCTGGACCTGAGCCACAACCAGTTGGCAGAGCTGCAGCTGGCTCCGGGGCTCACTGGCTCCCTCAGGAACCTCCGGGTGTTCAACCTGAGCTCCAACCAGCTCCTGGGAGTCCCCGCTGGCCTTTTTGACAGTGCCAGCAACATCACTACAATTGACATGAGTCACAATCAGATCTCGCTTTGTCCAAAGACGGTGCCCTTAGACTGGGCCGGGCCCTCCGGTTGTGTGGATTTCAGAAATATGGCCTCCTTGAGGAGCCTTTCCCTGGATGGCTGTGGGCTGAAGGCATTAAAAGACTACCCCTTCCAGGGGACCTCCCTCACCCATTTAGACTTGTCCAGCAACTGGGGAATTCTAAATGGGAGCATCAGCCCTCTCTGGGCGCTTGCCCCTACCTTACAGGTCCTGTCGCTCAGGGACGTGGGCCTCGGTCCTGGCGCTGCAGAGATGGACTTCTCCGTGTTTGGGAATCTGAGGGAGCTGGACCTGTCAGGAAATTCCCTGACCAGCTTCCCAAGGTTCAGGGGCAGCTTGGCCCTGCAGACTCTTGACCTCCGCAGAAACGCTCTCACGGCCCTGCCCCAGAGGGCTGTGTCCGAGCAGCCTCTGAGGGGTCTGCAGACCATCTACCTCAGCCAGAACCCTTATGACTGCTGTGGGGTGGAGGGCTGGGAGGCCCTGCAGCGCTTCCAGACTGTTGCCGACCTGGCCATGGTCACCTGCAACCTCTCTTCCAGGATCATTCGCGTGGTGGAGCTGCCCGAAGGCATGCCCCGGGACTGTAGGTGGGGGCAGGTGGACCTCGGCCTGTTCTACCTCGTGCTCGTCCTGCCCACCTGCCTCACCCTGCTCGTGGCCTGCACTGTCATCTTCCTCCTTTTTAAGAAGCCTTTGCTCCAGCTCATCAAGAGCCAGTGCCGCTGGTCCTCCATCTACTGAGCCTTGGGCCAAGGCCAGAAGCTTGACTGCTGAGCTGAAGGAGGCTTCGCTCTGCTGGACCTTCATGTCTGCAGGTGTCCGGTGCAATGCATTGGAGGTTTGGGAAATTTAAAAGATTCCCATCCTCCGTCCCATGAAATTCTTCTCCCACCCTTGTGATTTCTCCTCATCGTCCTGGTGAAATATTTATTAAGTGACATTCTGTGAGAATAAAGGGCCAGCCTCGTAAATACTTTTAAAATCGGATTCATCTTGTGGCATGTTTCTTTGATGGTTTCCCTTGGGTTTGTTGTTGTTTTTTCAACAGTCTTTCTTTGGTGACGTCCATGACAGTCTGGTGCTACCCGACAACAAATACGTACCCCACCTTCCCCGAATGTCCCAGATGGGTGGGAGCCAGCATCCTGGAGAGTTACCCAGGACAAGGATCCCAAGGTACTGCGTGAGGGTCAGGCACCAGGTGTGAGCTCCCTGCTCCGGTAATGGCCGATTGCCACCGCAGGGAGGAAGGGGCTGGGGCAGGACCCTCTCCAGCTGCCTGGGAGTCTCTGGCAGACGGACAGAATGTTTCATGGATGAGCTAAGAAAATAGTAACTCAGCCCCGAGGTCATCCTGTCTGTGACCCAGGGGCTATGCTTGCTCTGAGGGGAAACAGGAGTGTGCAGAAAGGAAGGGAGCTGAAGCCTGTGTCTGTGGCTCCTCCCTCTCCCCATCAATCACATTAGTAATGTTCAGTGATCTGTAACTCATCAAGCTTCTGGAGTCCTTTCTCCCTGCGTTCTTCCAAGAGAAGCAGAGCATTCTTATGCTCCTCTCTGGGAGTGGTGGGAGGTTAGGGAGAGGAGGGAGAATATAAAGATACAGTCTCTAACATTTTGGTATGAGTTTGCACATCGTTGCTTCTCACCCCCATTTTCTTAGTCATAAAATAATCATATGAAAATGACGAGAGGACAGAAACCGTACCGACTGGTTTCTATCACTGTGTAGACTAATATCAGGAGAAGCGTTAAGGCAAATCAAAGATAAAAATCAATGGTCTTAACCTAGCAAAGCAGTTTCTCTCGAATGCTCTGCACAACTCGAATCCCATGGCCTCATACATCCTGCACAACCCTTGCCTAAAGCTTCTGAAGCGGCCCTCTGAAGCCCCGCCAGGCAGGCTCTGTCAGCTACTGCTCACAAAACCAGGCTCTCCTAATCCACCCATTAATAAGGCCCATTCCCTGGGGCCCTGCTTTTAGCTAACCACCAGAAATCCCTCTACAGTCCAGTTTGAGCTAAGCCAAGACTGTTGTTTATGGCCATACGTACTTCCTGACTCCTAACAATGGCTGCGTGATTAAGAGCACTTGCTGTTATTCCAAGGACTAGGGTTCAGTTTCCAGCACTCATGCCAGGCAGCTCACAACTACCCTGGTCCAGGAGATTGAATGTCCCTAGCCTCTGTGAGCACACACACACACAGGCACAGACAGACAGACACAGAGAGTATCTGTGAAATGAGAGAAGGGGACTAAAGGACCAGAAGCAGGAGCATCAGATAGGGTGACAGGGAAAGAAAGAAGAACAGAAAGGATGTGCTGTATTTGGAGCAAAAATATTTATCTACAGAAAAAAAAAATTTTAAATGCATTTTTGTTGTTGTTTGTTTTTGTTTTGTTTTTTGACATAGGGTTTCTTCCTGTAGTCACTTTGTAGACCAGGCTGGCCTCAAAGTCACAGCGATCTGCCTGCCTCTAGCATTTTCTTTTGAATGAGGACAATACTACTGCTCACAGCAACTTGACTCCACAGCGTGGCCCTACACATTTCAAGGTGCTCTGTGGGGTTCAGCACAGAGATCTCGATGTTCCATGAAGTCAGAGATGATGGCAAGGTCGGAATACAGCGGGAAAGTCAGGACAAAACTAAACAGGAGATGCATTAAACTAACATCAAAATCCCCAGTAGTCAACTCTTCCTCCAGTATCAACAATGTCTGGACACTTCTTTTGTACGAATGTTTTAGACAATTTCACTCAACCTGGGGGGAACCCTGGGGTGGGAGCAAGTAAGACGTGCTGAAGGTCGCATCGAATTAAGGTCCCATGTTATCAGTGTGCTAAAGACATCAGTCTCTGGTACCCTGCCTGTCTTTATCAAGTATGTGCAGCTTCAACTCTGGGTGGCTTGTGGTCCCTGAAAAAACACGTTTACTGGGTAAATGGCAAATGAGGAGAAGGTTCCTGTGGGGCAGTGGGAAGGAGGCAGGCTCAGGATAGTAGTTGCCACCTGCTGCGACTGGGATTCCAGAAACATCAGCACATCATAGGGACAGTTTACAGCTAATTTACAGCCAGTCAATCTCACTTGACCCGACCCGACCACCCCGACACACACACACACACACACACACACACACGGTTTCTCTGTAACAGCTGTGGCCATCCTGGAACTCCCTTTGTAAGCCAGGCTGGCCTTGAACTCACAGAGATACACCTACCCCTGCCTAGAGTGTTGGGATCAAAGGCATGTGCCACCATGCCTGGCTTTATTCCATTTTTTAATCTTTTTGTTTGTTTGCAATAACGGTCTCATGTAACCTGGCTTGGCTTCAGACTCACCTCTGATCTTCCCTCCTCCTGTCTCGTGAGTGCTGGGATTACAGGCCAGTGACAGGATGCTCAGCATAGGCCTCCTTTGTTTTAAAACAAATATATCTAAGTTGGATGCAGTGTCACACACCTGTAATCCCAGTGCTCAGGGAGGCAGAGGCAGGCAGATCTCTGTGAATTCGAGGCCATCCTGGTCTACAAAGTGAGTCCAGGACAGCCAAGGCTACACAGAGAAATCCTGTCTTGAAAAACCACACATACACAAATACACTTAATTTGTGTGTGTGTGTGTGTGTGTGTGTGTATGCGCGTGCGAGCACGTGGAAGTCAGAGGACAACTTGTAGAGCTGGTCTTCTCCTGTTGCAGGGCCCAACTCTGGTTGAACTCAGGTTGTCAAGTATGCTGGCAAAAACGTTTACCCACAAACTGAACCATCTCACCAGTCCTCTCAAGGCTAACATTTCAGTTCACGTGCTGGGATTACAGACACCAGACCAGCTTTCAATGGGGTTAAGGTTGGCTTGAGTGTTGCCATGGCCCAAACTGTGGTGCAACCCCATGGGCTCTGAGGTTGGGGTGGGGTAGGCCAGCACGGGAGGGCACAGAGGGGGTGGGTGGGCAGAGTGGGCCATGCTCTCCAGAGGGTGTGTGCACTTCTCTTTCTGGCTGATGTTTTCGATGTGGTGAACACATCCCTTCTACAGAAACCCTGGAGAGGAAACCTGGCACTTCCTGTTCTTACCAAAGCTTCAAAAAAACAAAAACAAAAACAAAAACAAAACAAAACAAAAAAAAAAAAAAACGCAAACTATAAGTGAAGAAAGATTGGCAAGAGGGAGGAAGTGGAAAGCTCTGGCTAGGACAGGATGCCAGGCTCTGGAAGAACTCAGCTGGCTTTTGCCCAGGAGATGGGGAGGAAAAGGCGCTGTCTCCGTGCCAGATGCTCAGATCAGGACCTCCCCCCCAAAAAAATAACTTCCCCACATGGAAGGGCACCTTGAAAAGCAGCTGAAGGCGAAGATCTTAAGGAGAATGAAGATATCCATAAAAGCTGAGACTGTCAAAGAAATGCGGTAGCCCTGGTGCTGCCCTTAACCTTTTCCGTTCCACCTCCAACGTCCTGCCGTGTTGGAAAGAGTCAGATCCTTCTCATCCTTGGGAGGAACATCTCCGCTTCCACGAGCTATTTTGTAGGATTTAGCAGGACAGCATCCTGAACTCTGGGCATAAGTCTACATAGACGCTGCTGACAGGCGACAGGATATTTAGATGTTTATTTTTATCATGAAAACCAAGCCAAATACCTCTCTCTTTCCCACAGATCCATCATCCTGCCCCTCTCAGAAGAGCCTGTCCGTGCCTAACTTTTCTGTGATATTTTATTCATCAAAAACCACCTTTCTCCCCTCTCAGATGTTGGTTGGCCACGTGCCTTGTCCCTGTTCCTCTCTTCAGTGTAATGGGAGACCTTTCACGCTGGGGTCACGGTTCCTAACACTTAGAGAGTGTGTGAGAAGCTTCACACCCGCATTTGGGCCTACCCTGGTTTTCTTGAACTAGATCTTGAGTAATATCACCTTCCTCAGGTGACTGTTTCAAGGGGAAGAACATCCTTTCTCTCAAGAGCGACAGCAAAAACGAAAATCCCACTTTGATCTTAACGTTTGATTAGAAAAAAAAATGCCATTTAGACCTCTGACTTTTCAGAAGCGTCATGCTTTCCCTTCCTGGCCCTCATCCAGTCATACTGAGCTTCCCCCTCCTCTCTTTGTTAAAGGTTTTTTGGTTTTGTTTTGTTTTGTTTTATTCTGTAGAGGGTTTCTCTGTGTAGCCCTGGCTGGCCTCTGGAACTCACTCTGTAGACCAAACTGCCCTTAAACTCAGAAATCCACCTGCCTCTGCCTCCTGAGTGTTTGGATTACAGCCATATGACCCCATGCCCAGCTAAGGGGATTTATTTTTTAATTAAGATTTTAATATCGATTGATTGTGTGTGTGTGTGTGTGTGTGTTTGTGTACATGCTCTTGAGTGTGTAGTATAGGTGTGGCTGCCCACAGAGGCCAGAATAAATCCTTGGATCTCCTGCAGCTGGGGTTACAGGCTATTGTAAGCCTCTTGACCTGGGTGTTGAGAACCAACCTCTGCTCCTCAAGGAAGGCATGCTCTTGACCTGAGCCATCTCTCCAGCCCCTGCAGTTTGTTTCTAAAGACGTCTTCCTACTTTGTTTTTTTTTTTGTTTTTTTTTTTTTAAACCAGAAGTGCCAACTGTGTTTCGTTGACTTCTGGACCAACTTTAATGGAAGTCTGTCAAATGCACTGTAATATCCATTAGGTCTCAGTGTGTAACAAGCTAACATAATGGGACCCATAGGTCACTTCTGTTGATGCATTGCTCCAATATCAAATATCACCCATCAGATCTAGTAATTGTTGGGGGTTGCTCTGATGCTTGCATTTGGATGCTAACTACTGGCCCTCAAGATCTGGTTACTGCCTGGATAAACCTATCCTTGTTATGTAAACCTGCCTAGGACATTCCACCTGGTTGGTTGATTAAAGGCCTAAAACCTGGGCAGAGCAGAATGGGGTAGGAGACATGGCTGAGGTTCCTGGACTTTGGGTTCAAGAGAATCATGGGAAACAGA